GTATTTCCTACCAGCAGGTGTAGTGCATACTGCCGATGATTTGCATTAAAATAAAGTAAAATCTCAGCATAGAGGTATGTGTGCGGAGGTATATTTTGTGCATTTTGGACTCATTGATGCTTCTAGCTCCTTAGTGGAGACCTGGCTGGGTGGTTGTGGTCTTGGTGCAGTATGCTGTTTGTCAACATGCTCAGTATGTTCCATTCAGCGAAACTGAAGTTGAATCGTGTGACAGAGAAGCGATGTTTGGTACATCCATACAGAGCATAAGGAGCGAGGTGGAGGATGTATTGAACTTTGAAAACTTTCAAATATTCAAACAGCAAACCTTAAACAGAGATTTTTTTTAAGGCAGGGAGTGAGTTTTTGAAATGGTCGATTCTGGGGTGAATTGTACATTTTGTCAAAATAAATGTACTAAACTAACTTTTTTTGCTTTTCTTTATCTTTGAATTTCTCAGGCTTGTTGTTCTGCGTGTGCACTCCCATGGGTTGGTCACCATTGATCTGCAGTGTTACCAAGAGGACAACATTGCACAACTAGACAATGTAGGTGATTCATAAAATAACATATGATACGTTAACTTTTACCTAAAAGCCTTCTTCATGCTAATAAATGTAAAAAGCATGTGTTGAGAGTAACAGTGTAGAAGTATTCTTTCTGTTAAAGGACACAGTGCAGCATTCCTGCCTGCACATGTTGTCGACTTGCCTTCACGGTCCAAACACTCTTTCCCACAAACTGCACATCTAGTCATCCTCTGGTTGTGCCACCAATTAGGTTGGAATCCCAAGTATATACACAGTGAACAATAAATGAAATAGCTGCTGCTTTCTTCACTGTCAGTGTGTTTTGCCATTGGAGTGTTTCTTATTTCATATCTCTTTAGTTGATGAAAATGTTTCTTCACTCAAGCTTATTATGGTGTCTAAGACTCAACTGTTTGTCTTACAGCTTTTAAATGCACTGGAAAAGAAGCTAAAGGATCTCCTAAAAGGCAATATTACAAGGATTAAAAGGTTTGTAGCTTTGCCAGTGTTGTGGAAAGTTGATGGCTGTATTTCATGCAGCTTGCATGTTGCAGTGATATTGATTAACTGTATTGTTCACCATTAACCCCCTCAGGCTCCCAGCTCTCGTACGAGGGGGAGAAGTTGACCGATACTGGCCAACAACTGATGGCAGACTGATTGAGTATGACTTTGACCGGGTGTTGTACGAGGAAGACTCTGCATACCAAAACATAAGAATATTGCACTCAAAGCAGTTTGGAAATATCCTAATACTCAACGGAGATGTTAGTAAGTGCATACAGTCCCACGGTACATGGCTCATTAGTCATTTTGAGACAGAAAATACTCAGTTTGGTCCCACCAACAGAATAGAGTACACTTATAATTATTCAAGATTAATGTTCTTGATTATACCGGTTGTATGCTGGATGTACTGTATGAATGTGTGTGTGTAAATGAATCATTTACCCTGCAGATCTGGCAGAGAGCGACCTGGCCTACACCCAAGCCATCATAGGTAACGGAAAAGAGAACTATGCTGGAAAAGAGGTGCTGATATTAGGAGGAGGCGATGGAGGCATCCTCGCCGAGGTGGTCAAACAGAAGCCAAAGATGATCACCATGGTGGAGATATCCTTTATGGGTTCTTTAATACTGAAACTGTCTTATGAAATTCCTGTGGAGTGACTCAGGCAGTGTAGTTTTTACCTTGCAGCCTTTTTACCAACAACTACAACAATGCACCTGATTGGTTCTTAACTAAGTGTGCACATTGACCAGAAGGTGATCGACGGGTGCAAGGTGCACATGAGAAAAACCTGCGGCAATATCCTGGACAACCTGAAGGGAGACTGTTACCAAGTGAGTGCTGCATAAATATTCACTGGGTAATCCTGGGTAATTGGAACATGAAGCTGGTTAGTAACTGCCTTTGTTACCTGAAGACAGCTGTTATGCTCAGAGCTGCATTTGCAACAAGGTTAAACCTGATGAATATCTTGTTTTAAAATAAGAAGCTTTGCAAACACTGGAAGTTATTCCCAGATATAAACAGTAAGGCTAAGGCTATAAATAATTATTTTGTATGTATATCTTCAGTATTGAATGAGTAAGATAAAACTAATGTGAGACTGTTTCTGTTTTGCCAAAGCAGATAGAAGTGAATTAGATTTAATTGATGCTGTGGATTCTTTTCCTCATCAAAGATAACAAGACATTGTTTTTATTTCCAATCATCATCAACACCAAGTCTTCTCATGAGAGTGTAAAACATAATCATAAACATCATAACTGGGAATGAAAGAATATTGTAAACTACCAAAGTAATATCCACTGCTCTTTATTATTCGTCACTATCATTAACCCTTTTGTCTGTGTCTGGAGCTGGTAGGAATGACGACTCAGTATTTCCAGTGATCTGATTGGTCAGAGGTGGAGCTGTTGACCTGGTCTTCTATAGTGTCCTGCTCCAGAGTAGAGTCAGCATTAGTAACCATGGTGATTTACCCCTGTTAAAAGGGAGCAAGTTTCATGACTCTGGAAATTGCGTCTCAACTAATTGAAAGAAATTTAAATTTAAGACAAGAGCAAGATAAATGCAAATTGATCGAGCAAGTGTGCACAGTTAGGGATTGACCATGTTTTCCAAATGAAAGGAGTTTTAATAAGTGGACTCTCCTTGTCTTGTACATTACAGATACTGGTTGAGGACTGTGTCCCTGTGCTGAAGAAGTATGTCCAGGAAGGACAGATGTTTGATTACGTAATAAATGACCTTACTGCAGTCCCGATATCCACGGAGCCGGAAGAAGGTCTCTGTATTTTACATATTTAATATGTGCACGTTGTTTATATTTTTCCCCATAACTCTTCATCTAATATCACTTAATGACAAGGTGGAAGCATGTTTTTAGAAATGTCACTCCAAAAATGTTCGTCTGTGGTGCTTCGTTCACCGGGAATCTTCTTAGATGAGTTTTTACAAGCATGGCAAACCTGAATTCTTAACAGTTGTTCTCGATGTCAGATCCCCTCAAAAAGGTTTACGGCTGCTGTACTCTAACAGCCAGATTGATTTTAACCCTTTATTACATAATGGTCCATATTATAACATTTCTGTAAAAAAAAAAAATTGTGATAACTACTGCATTATGTAATAATTTATTACAAAATGCAGAGAAATGTCTGAAGCTGTCTGAAACTGTCTCAACTGGATTTGTTTGTAGACTCAACATGGGAGTTCCTGCGTCTCATCTTAGATCTGTCAATAAAAGTCCTGCACCCGACTGGAAAATATTTCACACAGGTAAGTCAGTGTTTAATATACCATTTAGTCTTGAATTATCAAACAGGGATATTTTCTGAAAATCAACAAAGGGAAAAGATTCTTTCCATTTTATTATGACTGAATATTGGAACACCACTTTCAGTTATGGTATATATGTATGTATTTGTATTCTCGTCATCAGGGCAACAGCGCAAACATGTCAGAGGCACTGAGTCTGTATGAGGAACAGCTGGGGAAGCTCTCGTGTCCCGTGGACTTCTCCAAAGAGGTGGTGTGTGTGCCCTCATACTTGGAGCTGTATCCTTTCATTAGTTCTATTGTTTTAGATATTGTTTTAAGTAGTGCAGTGTCTGTTTGGGGGTGATTTTGGTAATTAGCCTTGCAGCTTTTTTTCTGAAACTGTTCAAATTACCTGCAGTAATTAAACTGCAGCAAATAAAGATTGGTTGGGGGATTTGGTCTCAGTGAAGCTCGTCTCAGTGCAGAGCCCCAAACTATCAGTTGTTGCTGTTGTCATGATGTGTCATGTTGCTTTCGTGACCAACAGCATCACATATGTTGATGAGTCTCAGCCACTGCTAACCCAAATCCTGGGTAACGATAAGTGTGAAGCCTATAAGATGAACGGTTCTCAAAATATGAGTCACTGTCCGAGACTCCTGGAACTATTAGATTTAAATAGATGGTTGCAGGTGAGTTATTGAATAGATACAATTTACAAATATATTTAAATAATATTTTACAGTCATGATAGTGTGATATTTATATTATTCTTGTAGATTTGGCCCTTATTGATAACCATGTTCTCACAAACAGCTTTTTTTTTAAATAGCCTGAACCCTTCAGGTTTTTATTGTCCCAGTTAGTTTTTACAAAACTACAGAAACTCAACTTTAGAAACCATCTTTACGAAACACTTGTTCATATATTCATTCTGGAACAGGAATATTGCACTTTTTTGTTGTCATTGTGTTTAGTATGATCCTTAATCTACTGTGTCAGATGGGTTTTCTACACCATATGGAAAAAGTAAAGCTCTGGATTTCTGGAGTGTGAATGCTGTACTCCTCTCTCTCTGCTGTCACCTTCAGGTTGTGCTCAGACTGAATTTAACATGTAAATTACACACATCTCAAAGCCGAGAGAAGTGTGTCGTTTTGTGAACTTTAAAAGATTTAAGACTGGATCCGGAGAAGCAAAACAAAAATTCCTGGAGTTCCTGTGATGGTTATAAGTCTGAGTAGTTTATACTTACAAATAACTTCAACCTCTTACCCACAAATCCGTTTTTGAGACACAGATTGTGTCCAAGGTTGGACAAACTGATCCTAAATCTGAAATTCATCGCTAAGGGCAGCCTGTTACTTTAACATCGGTGCAGCTGTAACCACACCTGGACTGTAATTGGCCGCAAAACACTCAGTCTGAACACATCTCAAAGGGCACAATGACAGTTTTATTATCCCCTATCTATCAACACCATTTTACCCTGTTCTTCCTTCTCCTTCCTTTTTGGTTGTCTTTCACCATTGTTTACTACAACTCACGAGTTGTATTTCATTTGTGTTATTTGATTTGGAATGTCCATTTGCATGTACGCTGAAAAAAAACTGTTAGATGTTTAAACACTGATTGATACACTGATAACGTGGTGTAACTCACCTCACAAACAAGTGTGAGTTCTCTTATTTTCTTTAGATTTTTTTTTTCTTGAGTTATGAGCTCAAATTGTGTGATAGGCCAATCTATAGACTAAGCGCAGCTCAAGGGAGTCGCTTTTAAGCTCTAGTTTTGTTACTGCCACTCTAATGTGATTTGATTCTTTCAGGTTGATTCAAGGTGATGTGATCACGCCCAGTGATGACTGTAGTGTTGAAGTCCAAATGTGTTTTAAAAGGGAAACATTTCCACCACTTTAATGCCACCTTTGTGCTTGTGCTGTTTTTATGTCATGTTTTATTAGCACCTTGGTTTCTCCTGATATATTTAAAGTTTTTTTTAAGACTGTATAACGTGCATGTGAAGGACAGTGAATGTAGCTTGCATATACAGTACACAGCGAATCTACACGTGAGCAACCCTGTGGGACTCAGTTACATTTATTTATTATATATGATTTCACCAAATGCTTTTCTGTCCTACTTGAGATGAGACATTTTTGTGACCATTTACAATTAAAATGTTTTGGGGGGAAAAGTGCCTTGCCTTGGTTTTTTAAAGAAATGAATAACTAGAATAACACTGTGTAGAGTTCATACCTCCACCAAGGCCCAACAGTCCTTTCACAGCCCTCAAAAGGAAAAGTAGTACGGATGATGGATGGAAGAAAGATTCAACACCCTATCCTTATAAATACTTCATATTACCTTTTCTCTATAGTATTAGAAATGCAGATGCATCAAATCTGAGATATTTAGTTTTTTGGACTATTCAATCATTTAATCCAACATGTGTTCTGGCCTTGTACCATCTGAATATTCTATACTGATAACATCACTGTACAAAGGAATAAAGGCTATTGTATGAAAAATGTATAAAAACCAATAACCATAATGTATTATTTACATTTTGTCATAAAATACATAAAACACTCTGCTTAATTGACATTATATACATGTCCTTCAAAATAAGAGGCATTCTTAGATGGTGTGTTCAGTCCTTTGTGGATCAGGAGGCATTTTGGGTTCTGTACTGTCTGTTGATCTCATTGAGGACCACGTCCATGCCGGGCTCTTCATCCGCTGTGATTGCTCTGTCTTCCAATGGGCTACCTGTAACACAGCACTGCTGTCGTTACCTCTATTAAATACAACATGTCTAACTAAATAGTAACTATATCCCCAATGAGGAGCTGTTTGACAGAAAAATTAAAAGGTGTCAACACAAAATATGTTGGAAAAGCAACATTTAACTTTTGCTGATATCCACATTTTCATACACAATAATGTATTAATTGTGATGTTTGGTATCTTGTTTAAAATTATAAACTAGTGAGCTCTCATACTGCACTTTGGGCCAAACACATGTCAAATCATTGTTACAGTAGAAATATTTAATAAGCTACAGCAATAGACAAAACTTATTTAGACATATAATATGGTGGAGTAAAGTCCTGCTGTGAAAACCAACCAAAGCACACTTTAAGTGTTTTAATGACTAAACCTGTCGTAGTCAAACAGCTCTGACGTAAAATCATCGACTGTCCTCACTTACCGATGCCACGAGTCTGCTCTGAAGTGGCGAGAAAAGAGGAGGAGCTGGATGAGTTGTTGGACTGGGACGACTGAGACGAGTTAAGGGACGTCAGTCTGGTAACTGACGACTTCTTTGTATTCTTCTGTGTTGCAGTACGACTCCATTCTGGGAAGAGAAATTTCACAAGATGTTGTAAATATTGTTATGTTGTTGCTCTGTGACGCAGGATCTTCCTTTTGTGTCTCTCCCTGAGGTTTTAGTGTTGGTTTGGGAGTTTCTCCTCACCGATGTCAAGGGTTAATGACAGAGTATGTACAGATTAATTGATTTGTGAATACAAATTGATTAGATTTTGATTTGAGATGAAATGTGACATCATTCAGAGTTCAGTGTTTCATTTCTCCCTGCAAGCATGCATCTAATGGCCTTGACTTTGAAAGAGCAGATGTTGATATATGACGGCATCAGGAATCAGACATCGTACATGAGCACTGAAAACGTAAAGGTTAGATTACAGCCAGAATGGTGGATTTGTGAAATGTCACTCTAACCTGAGTTCTCTGCCAGTCTCATTTTGCCGCAGCACAGGTAGATCCTCCACTGCCTCCTCACGTTTTCCTTCACTGCGCAGTGCAACACAAATATAAAGAAACCTGCAAAAACAGAAGCATTTTTTAAAGGCCACAGCAAACCTTTTACAATGTGGAGCATAATGTCATGTCAAATGAAACAATACTTGAGAGCTAGAATTTTCCTGCTCCCCCTGTATGCGACATGCAATGTCTGTTTGAGTCTTTGTCTTTTCCTTTAGGGGTCTGTTGGATATTTATTTAGGTTTAACTGAAAACTGCCAGTGTGCATAATGTCCATTGTTACTAGATACTGCTCTATATATACAATTCACAAGGTGAGTGCTATAAGACTAAAGCCTTACTAAAGAAAAGATTGTTGATCATTAACCAGGAGTTTGAATGTTCGATTCCTGGCTCCTCCAGTCAGCATTATAAAGAGTCTCTGGGCAAGAAACTGAACCCTCAATTTCCCACGACAACTGCTGGTAGTGTTTGAATTGTGTGTGATAGTAAAAGCACTTTAAAGGCCCTGAATGAATGTGGGTATGAATTGGTGAGTGTTAATCTGTGTAAAGCTTTGAGTGGTCGATAAGAAAAGAGTTTTTGCGAAGGGTTTAAACGACTGTTGTAAGATTGACTTTAAAAGCCTCAAAGGCAAAACACACACTCAGAAAAAGGTGTTTGTTGAGTTCAGAGCTGGACTCCAGGCAGAGAGAAAGTGTCAGAGTAGATCCTGCGGGTTTGGTGCAAGTGATGATGTATGAATTAGAGATGGAGTATAATAGCTCATCTCCATGCAACTCATTTGGGTAGATAGCAATGGTTCACAGAGAAAATTGGTGCTTTGGTACATTGATCCTAAAAAGTATAAAAAACTAAAATGTTCCTCTTGTTGCTGTGGAGGCCCCATGATTACAAATTCAGGTTTTATTGGATCAACTGTGGTGTGAACCCTCACCTTGCAAGGAGTTGAAGATGGCAAAGAGGTACATGAACGCCAGGTTCACGGGCCCCCAGGCGAAAAAGGCGAAGCCCCAAGTGAGGCCCAGGAGGATGGTTATCCCCAGTACACTGCGCACATCCTGCAGCGTGGTGCGGTGCTGTGCGTTGTGTGGGTTCTGCCTCTTTATGCGACATAGCTGCACCAACACCACAACAAACATGATGGCATTGAAGAGGAAAATGACGCAGAAATAAGCCACCACGGCGACATAGAAGGCGATGTCGTTTTTCAGCCAGCAGCTGTGGGGGAAGACAAGAGAGAGTCAAGGGGTTTGATATGTTTTTGCTGTTTTAATTTTACATGTTTGTTGAGTATTTTTTACTTAGTTTCGAAAAACTCACAAGCCATCAGTAGTGCCATCAGAAAACTTTCCATAGGAGACAAGGCCATAGTTATCTTTGTCAATAGCAATGACGATGATGACCACGATCATTGGGATACCCCAGCCGGCAAACGAGAACCTCAGCATGTAGTGCGATACATAGTTGTTGAAGACCTTGACGAGGGCCAGGTACATGTGGACAGCCTCAAGTCCCATCCAGGTGAAGGAAACCAGCAGGAAGTAGTGAAGGAACCAGGCGGTGGAGATGCAGAGGCCCAAGGCGTCTGGGTAGAGCGCCAGCCAAGCATCAACCAGGAAGACGAGGTTCAGCAGCAGCAGAGCCAGACACAGCTGGATCAGGATTTTGGATGGAATGTCCTTACGCAATTTCCTACAGGGATTAAATGGTGAAGACAATTTGAAATATGCATTTATCATAAATATCTCGACTATTTGTGAAGTAGCACATTCTTTCACCTTAAACCATAAATTAGTTTTAAAAAAATAGTACAACTTTAAGGTAATATGACTTGTGAGGCCACAGTGACCTTGACCTTTGACCTTTAACCTCCCAAAACTAATCAGTTCAAGTCCAACACAGTATTTTTACCAAATTTGAAAAGGTTTCTGAAATCATTGAGAAATCGTGTTCACGAGAATGGCACAGACGGACAAGCCATAAACAAATGCCTTCAGCCACTGTCTGTTGTCGGCGGAGAAGCATACAAGCCAATTGCTTCAACAGCAATTATCAAAGTGGATGTGTGTTATCTATGTTTTGGCTCTTAATACACACCCAAACGCCAAGTAGGTAAGGAGGGTGATAGACAAGAAGATGGCAGAGATTCCGCAACCGATGTATGTGATGAAGGTGAGGATGGTGGCCTGGAGAGCATCGGTTACAGGTTGTCTTGAGAGGTCCTGTTTGAGAAACACAGAGAAGTTACAGTAGGGGTTAAGTTTTATTAGCAAACAAAAAGATGCATGAGAATAAATAAAAACGGATCATCTTCTCACCAGCAGGATTGCAAAACTGGTTAAATGGTTGCAGCCACAAGTTGTCATGTTGTCTGTGCTGTTCAGGACAGAGCAGTTGTCAGGGTTCCAACCACCTGAACCATCTGTTGGGTGAAAAAAAGAGATTTTCATTTTAATTTGTTTATATTCACACCTTTTCTAATTGTAAAAAAATATTAGAGAAACTTACTATTAAATGTAAAGTCCCAGAAAACACACATGGCCTTGAAATCCTTCTGTAGTTTGGGAAAAGGCACAAGAGCTTTTCTCAGTTTACAGCCTCTAATTGGACCTGATGTTGGGAGGGACAGTGTTTGAAAACAGACTCACAGGAATTGGTTCTTTGTTCCTCAAGCGAATCACAACATCGTCCTTCAGTCCTGTGATTGACAGGTTGGCCACACTCGCTCCCAGGATGCCACTGTTTAGTTTGCGTTGTTCACCCAAAGATTTGTCCTGTGAGGCCGTTTAAAGACAACACAAATTAACACTCTGTACAGACAATTGTTTTAATGTGAAATTCAAAAGTAAATGCACCACTTCAGTTTAAAGCACTAAACCTGAAAGAACTCAGTGGTTGTGTGTTTCCATTTACCAATGCAGTTTCAGCTGACATTCATTTTCCAGACTCATATGAGGTCACCGTGACCTTTGACCACTGAAATCTAATCAGTTAATCTTACACCTAGTTAAAATTTAAAGAATTTTACAAAAGGCAGACTTGAGTTTGGTACAGTGTGTAGAATTCTGTGATATCTAGTGTTGAAATTGCATGTTGCAACTGAACACCCCCTCACCTCACCCTTTCCTTCAAACATGAAAAAGAACCTGTGGCAGCCTTTAATTGTCATAAAAACTCAAAAGGTGTTTGGTTTGTCCAGTCTGGACTAATGTAAAAAACATGGCAGCCTCCATAGAGAAGGTCTCCTCGATGTTAATATAAAGTATTTAAATATAAAGGGCATTTTCTAGAATAAAGAAAACTACAATTCAAACAGTTTAGATGAAACGAACAAGTGAAAACATCATGTGGATTATTCTACATAAGATTTCTGCCAATAGTTCCTTTTCACCTAAATCTTACACACTGGACCTTTAAGAGGCCAAAAAGATCTGAGACGAAAGTGACTTTGATATTTGACCACCCAAATCTAATCAGTTCATACTTGATTCCAAGTGAACATTTGTACCAAATTTGAAATTCCCTCAAGTATTTCTTGTGATATTGCCTTCACGATACCAAGCATGTGTTTTGTGAGGTCACAGCGACCTTGAAGTGACCATCAAAATCTAATCAGGTGATCTATGAATCTAATACAACATTATTTTTTTACCAAATTTGAGGAAAATCCCCTGAGGCATTCCTGAGATATGGTGTTCAAAGACAAACATAATGCCTCAAGCCAATGTCTGTCACCAGCAGGGACACATGCAAAACAAAGGTGATAAGAGTAATAAATATCTGTAGGAATCAAAACCCAAAAGTCTCAGCTTCCTGTTTCTCCTCAGCCATTGATAATCAACACCTATGTGTAAATGGAACATTGGTTGACCATATAGACCTGGAACACTGTGCTCTTCTGGTAGAAATTGAACTGCAGTCGAGAGGCCAGCTGCTGTTGCTCTGTGGTCAGGTCCTGTGTGAGGGTGGGGGGCAGCCTGATGGAGCCCTGAGGGATGGAGGAGTCCGCTCTCACGCTCCTCTTTGGTCTGGGATCCCCACGGACCTGCAAAACACAGAGAAACACAGGTTAAACAAACAGATTTTTATCACCATGGATGTTTTTTCACCACTTTTTATTTGGGGCAATTACGGGCACCAAAACAAGTGTAATCCAGGAAGGTACTCATAGACATCACATTAGAAATCATGTTTGAGATTAAAAGAAGTATAGGTTGGCAGGCAGAATTTCTGACCTAGATCACCTTGTGAACGTTTGCAGGCAGAAACAGCCTTTCCACATGTGTATAAAATACTGAATGTGGGTGAAATCTAAATGATTTACATGAGTTTTAGGGAACACGTACTTAAGTATGTATTAAGTATGTACACTTTATATTGGAGAACAATTTCTAATCATTAACAGCACTATGAAACTACCAGGGTAATAGACAACACACTATTTTATTTAAAAAACTATAACCAGGACTTTATTCCATTTAAAAATCTCAGTAAGTCTGTGTATTCCGCTGGTGATGTAAGAGTAATAAATCACCACATTCAGATTGTATATTATAAAGTGAAATATTAATGGTGCCATACCAGTACATTAGTGGGGTCTGAGATGGAAAAAAACGTTTCCTCAAAGTTGCTGCCATCTGCTGGTTTCACAGACAAAGCCACTGCCGAGGCCAAGAGCGACTCAGCCTGATCGTTGAGGACCAGCTTCAACCCCACTGTGTCAATGATCCCTATAATCCTGATGGAACAGAGATGAAATGTTATTGTCCACAGCAGCAATTAACCTACTATTCACTGAGCCAGTTCAGTTACACTGGTGGTCTCCAACCCCCGGGGCCACAGACCTGCTACAGGCCACACTATGAGGAAAAAGTGATCTGGTGAATAAAGCCGCAAACTCCTGCAGTTTTTGATGAGGTATTTCTGTGGTAGAAGTATGTTAATGTTGTGAGGAGACAGTAATGGAATGTGGAGAACAATTCATCTCCACTTACAGATACTCTGTTCCCCTTAGCTGGGCTGACGGATGGGAAAAGATTATAATTTGTTTGTTCATGATAAATATCTTGTTGTTTATTTTCCATAAATTATATAGACCATGTTGGCAATTTAACTTAAGGTTAATTATCTTGTGGGTAAAAGTTATCAGTCTTGTGTGCTCAAGATATTTTTGTGTGGGAACAAGTTATTATCTTGGGCTCACAAGATTAAAAAAGAATCACCTGTTGGCACTTTAGAGGCTCCGTGGTCTGCTACAAATGTGTCAATGGTTGGGAATCACAGTCACGTCATCTCATTTCTACAGCAATGTGAAATGTGTCGGAGAATGTTAATAAATGCACCTCCTGGAGGAGTCCGCCAGCGTCTCAGCAGAAGCACCCAGCAGATTGCTGACAATGTGGACGGATGTGTTTCCCAGAGCCAGGCTGATGGTCGGCCCTGACAAAAGATCCTCCAGCTGAGATACCAGCTGATCCACCTGGCTGGAGTTCAGCCTGGACACGTCTCTGGTCATCTCCAGCAGCGCGTCTGCTTGGCTTTCAGCTGCAGGTTATAAAATACAGACCGGATACTGTTGATAATGGAAACTTACATGTTGAAAGTGGTTCACAGTGCTGAGGTGATAACAAACCTGACTCAGTTGTGGTTACATTTGCTGGGGTTGTGGTTGCATTGAGTGTTGTTGTCACTGTGACATTAGCAGCGGTGGTGGTTGCATTGAGTGTTGTTGTCACTGTGACATTAGCAGCGGTGGTGGTTGCATTGAGTGTTGTTGTCACTGTGACATTAGCAGCGATGGTGGTGGTGTTGAGGGGTTCAGCTGTCGTGTTCAGTGGGGATGAGGTTCCGTTCACAGTCGTGGTGGTGTTTGGTTGCACGGTCGTCACGTTTGGGCCGACTGTCGTGGACGGCATGTGAACACACTGGTTGTCCAGCTCTACAACCACATTTTTCCCATCTTGACTATCAAGAAAAAAGGACAAATTGAAATCTTACATTGGAAATATTTGTAAAAGTTTAGAATCATCTGTGACATTTTGATCTACAAAATCCAGATGGTATAGAAATCGTACAAACCAGGAGAAGGTGAGAGGCTCTTCTGCTGTCGTACAAAACATATGAGGCGTCAGGTTACTCTTCTCCCATGTGAACTGTGGATTGTCACTAGCATTTGAATTCCCACATATTGCTGCAAGACATGTCAGATAACACATAAATTAGGACTTTTACATGATACATCGGATTTTTTTCTTGACTGTATGAAGTGATTTTGAATGGACTTGTTGCCCTATGATTTTATAATATACACACCTGCTTGAGTCACCAGTCCATTAAAACTGATTTTTTCATTGAACTGAAACAGATTCGTCACCGCTGCCGACACGTTGCAGATAGGAACCTCGTAAGCTAAGTTTACGATCACTTTGCAGCTTTGAAGACTGGAATAAAAAGAAAAAGTCAGAGGGGCACAGATTTTCAGTCACAGTTAAAATATGTTGTGTTGTGTTTTTTAATGAGTACTCACATTGCTCCTGTGCTTTCACAGAACACATTCACATCCTGTGTAGAAATATCCATTTTAGTCATCTCAAGTGTTTATATATACTTTATATAGATTATGATTTGTTTTGTGTGCTTAAGCAAAACGTGCGACCATAGTGTCTCAAGTTGTATTTATATGGACAAAATACAGTATCAGGATATTCTAGCTTAATTTTACATAGTAGGAGGAAGTGGAGATGTGTCATCCATCTTTATTTACAGTCTATGGTTTTGCAAACACTCTATTATAAACACTCTAATAATAATCATAAAACTCAGAATGATGATGTGTTGCTGGCTGATTACCTTGTATTCCAATAGAAAGGTGGAAAAAGGACATTGAAACCTGCAAAGGAACATTATAAATATTGGGAATTATTTTCAATTTATTGTTATATAGTTTGTTTTGTATAGGCTTGAAGAATGGGAAAACGTACTCTGTAGCTGGAGAACAGATTGGTGCTTCCTTTATGTTAGAAACCTGTAAAAAAATATCACATTTTGATGCAAAATAGAAATTAAAGTCAAATACTGAAACCTAAACTCATGCATGTATGTATGCTCTGTGTGTGTCAGGGAAACTTACCTTAGACAAGACATATGGAAAGTCCACCTCTGGACTCTGTATTGATATTTGAAAAGTGTAGTATGCATCTAAAAACAAAGAAGAAAAGGTAACTTCTAAAAAGCTTTCAGATAAAATAGATCTTGATAATAATCTGGTGGTTTAGTTTGCTGATAAAACACTAACCAATTTTGCTGCAATACGTAGAGCAGCTGCAGTTCTTCTCTTTTTCAGAAAATGAAGTAAAAATCATATTAGTTTACTGAGTCAGTGTGAACAGCACAACAGCAAAACATTGATTTTAAGTTCATCATCAGTATTTAACCAATGTTATTGATTTCTTTTTTTCAAACATTATTTTAAATTTGATTCAAGAGACACAAACACTTTCGGTTGGAGATTGTGTCACAACATCTCCCAGTTTCCAATCTGACTTAGCTGTAGCTTCATATTGACCATGTAGACATATGTGGTATCAAGCTCCTCCTCCAACTTCCACCAAGAATGTGACAAAGTGTATTTCCCAAAATGTTGCACTGTTTCTTTGAAAGCTTAAAATAGTCTGTTTATCCTGATACTCGCGATTGCGCATGAACGTGAACATGGCTCCAGGCTGAGGAAAACCGTGGACATTTAGGCTAAAAACATGTTTTTTTCTAGTTGGGACACTTCGATAACACCACTAGAGCACTATGGAGGCACTTTATGTTTTTTTCTGTTCTTTTCTTTTTTTAATTTGAAAAATCAATCCCCAAATACTTCAGTTGTTTGGATTTGGCTGCTGCTTACCCCTTAAACTCCAAATGTTAACACTTGACCCACCCCTCCATCAGCATAGCGGTGGATAGATTATGAGTGAACTATCATTTTTGGGTGAACTATCCCTTTAAAATGACACAAACAATCTTGAGGAAAATTTAATTTGATGTTTACTTTGAATTTTGTTTTTTCTTTGTTTGGTCCATGTCCTATCTACTAACATGGAGGAGCCGGTATTCGTGATCTGTACTGATGCCAGCCACCAGGAGGCGGTGGAGCTGATCTGGCAGTCATGACTACTACCTTTACGGTCTACGATGCCTGTCAGGCCCCGCACAGGGAGAAGGAAACCCACGGGCAGCTGTTACTATCATGGCTGACGGAAGAACCATAGAGTGTGGAGAACCTGTCCGGACGGTGCTGCGCCTCCTACAACAAGTGGACGCGAGTATTTAATGTTCAAGTAAAATACAAACCGGTCATTTCAAAGCCTCGAGGCTGGCTGGTCGAGTTTGTTCGGGCAACAAGCAGCTTTCACAAGAAGCAGAGTTTTACAGGTAAGTTCGTCGAGGTTTGTGAAGGAGCCTTGTTGCTGCTTTTTATGAACAAAGTCGTGTGAGATTGTGTGGAGGAGCTGATATAACACATTCAACCCACCCGGACATTTTGTTTGGGAGAGTGCTCTTTTTATGCGGGAGGAATCACTGTCTGTGCAAAATCCAGGATTTCATACAAACGTAAGGACTTTTTTCAAAAAGTTGTTATTAGCTAAAACCAGCACTGAGCATCATCATCATCATCATCATCATCTGACAACAGACGCGTCATCAAAGAGAAGCAGTCGGTTAATGTGATGTATGTGTTCATTATTTTAGAGTGGGCCACAAAGGAAAAAACAAAATTAGTAATTATTGATTAGTTGAAGAAAAGTTAAAATGTGTTATTGTGTGTAGATCATTGACAAAAATCCAAATTTGGTACATTTTGAATTCAGGAGGTGGTTGAACACTTCCTTTACTCACTTGGTTGACAGTTAGTTAAGTTGCCTTGATCTTCCACATATGCAGCACCGGACTCCTCACTGGTGAGAGATGAAACCATAGTTCATGTGAAGTGTGCCTGTTAGACCCATAGACTGTAAAGAAAGATGGACACCATGGCACCTCCCCAAAAGTGAAGCCAAAGTGTCTCGATTGCCATCTAGTGGCTGGCTACAGTACAGGTCATAAATCCTTCCTCCTGCATGTCAGCTGATGGGATATGTAGCAAATCAAAACATGTAGCAAATATTTTGGAATGATGGTGTCTGTCATTTTCACACTGATTTGATGTGCTCATTGTCTGTGAAGTCTGGTTTTGATGGTGAAACATCATGATTGACAGCTGAGACTGACTCGCGATTGGTCTAGCTTTGACTCTGGCAGTGCTCGTATCTTCGTGTTGTGGAAACATGTTGTCTGCCTTTTATACACAGTCTATGATAGCCCCCAAAAACCTCATAACATTTTTAAAAAATGCACCGGCAGTAGTGTAAATTAACCTTAAGATTAATGTATGAATACTGCTTGAAAGAAAAACACTAATAAAGAAAATATATCCAAGCGTCATTGTACTCTAGTGTTTCTTGTCTTTTTTGAATAAGTTTGGACGTAATGAAAACACAAACTTTATGAATACTTTAAAGTCTTACCACGATGCACTGCCTGGACCATTGTAAATGCACCGGTTTTTCTCCAGTGGGTTGCAGCTATTTGGTATCAAACCTGTTCAATGAAACAGAGGGTTAGTTGCATTTACTTTTTAGGTTGGTAATTGTGTAACTGAAGATTATTTGGTTCCTCACTGATTCTATCTGCTATTTTTCCTACTACCCGGACATCAGGGGACCTTCTACTGGCCGCACAGAGAGTACTGAGGATACAGCATGGAGACACGGCCTGGCTCAGCCGCAGCGTCACAATACACTTTGTGTTTCTGAGGTATAAGGTCAGTGTTAGCAACAAATACAGTGTTTGCACTCACTTTGCTCAATTGAAAACAGTGTGTTGTGTCACTTACTTTATTGCTGTCTTTTTGCTGCATGAAACCTCACTTCCCTGAGAAAACAGAAATTAATCTTCATTAACATGATGGTTCTCTTCACACACTATGAACTACATGTACATTTGAAAGTTAACTTACTTGAAAAAGACCAGTTGCTCTTCTGAGCCTTCTGAAACATAAATTGAGGCAATATTAATGAAGAGCAAGTTTGAGTTAAGTCTGCAGTGAAGAAGTTTTTAATGAGTTTTCTCTTGGAAATGAAATTCGTAGGTTTGGTTGCTACAGCCTTACTTGATCTAATCTGTCTAGTTTAACTGTCTCTACTTCTGCTGCTGATACATTTCTGCCTGTCACAGATAAACATGTCAATAATTTTATGACATATATAAATCAAAGAATCCTGCATCTCAAGGTTTAACTTGAGGGAATTAGGTACATGTGTCACCATTTTGTGGGCACAGTTCAGGTTAACACACAGTGTCTGCTTCATCTTAAAGGTCAGTGTGTAAGATTTAGGTTAAAGGAAACTATTGGCAGAAATTGAATGTAGAATAATCCTCATGATGTTCTCACTAGTTTGTTTCATCTAAATTGTATGAATTGTAGTTTTCTTTACTGTAGAAAAGGCCCTTTATATTTAAATACTTAAATATTTGCATTAAGGGGGTCCTCTCTACAGAGGCCGCCATGTTCTTTACAGTAGTCCAGACTGGACAAACTAAACAACTTTTGAGTTTGAACTGAAGTTCAACACAGGTTCTTAGTCATGTTTGGAAGGGGAGGGTGAGGAAATTCAGCTGCAACATGCAACATGCACTAGATATCACTACATTTTGCACACTGTACCTTTAAGCCAAGTTTTGACCTTAGGAGCTCATTTCAGATGTTTTGAACATGCATTGTTTCTAGTGCTTGTCTACTTCCTGATCAACAGCAGCACAATTAGATTCTCCACCATGTGCAAACAGGTTTTGTAGTGTTAGCTCCATTTATAATCAGTGTTTCCTGCGGCTGTGGCAGCCTGCCATTTAATTTGTCCTGCCACGGTCTCATAATGATCCAACATTTTTCAGCATCTTTCATGAAAACATGAAACATTTTGAGCCAGAGCTCTCTCTGGCGAGACAAATTTATGGACAAAATAATTAATTAATTAATTAATTAATGATTCAAAGTAATTTATGTATTAAATAATTCATTCATTTATTCATGAAATGGTTTGTTTTCCTTAAAGAAATCAGTGTTGTGATACCTGGCTGCTGTCAGGCGGTTACTGATTTGACGAGCTACCCGCTCCTTGTTTTTATTCGATGGATTTGGCTTCCGTGTGATGATGGTTGAAGAAGTTGTCAGGTTGCTGCTCAGCGTTGGATCTGCTGTGGTGGATTGAGTTGTTGTAGCTTTGTTGGTGCTCTTGAGCGTGTTTGAAGCTGTAGCAGTTGTTACAGTGTAGCTTTGTGATGTTGCTTCTGTTGTCGTGGGTGTCGCCTCATTTGACGTGCTCTTAGATGTAGTTTGTGTAGGGGCAGCTGTTGTGTAGTTTTGTGATGTTACTGCTGTCGTTGTGTGTGCCGTCTCATTTGACCTGCTTGTAGATGTAGTTTGTGTAGAGGCAGTTGTTGTGTTGTTTTGTGATGCTGCTGCTGTCGTTGTGGGTGTCGTCTCATTTGACCTGCTTGTAGATGTAGTTTGTGTAGAGNGGTGTCGTCTCATTTGACCTGCTTGTAGATGTAGTTTGTGTAGAGACAGTTGTCGTTGTGTTGTTTTGTGATGCTGCTGCTGTCGTTGTGGGTGTTGTCTCATTTGACGTGCTCTTAGATGTAGTTTGTGTAGAGGCGGTTGTCGTTGTGTTGTTTTGTGATGTTGCTTCTGTCGTTGTGGGTGTCGTCTCATTTGACGTGCTTGTAGATATAGTTCGCGTAGAGACAGTTGTTGTTGCTGTGTGGCTTAGAGACACGCAGCTCTCCAGGTTGTTTGTGAACACTTGGTCAAGCTGTAGAAAAAGAACATGATGTTCATTACATTTGATCATAGGATACATATAGACATCATAAAACTTTAATAAGCAACTTGTCAAAAACCAGTTCCCCAACATACCCAGGTCTGGATTTCTGATTCCTCCTTCTTCTGTCCACTGACATCCACAGTGACGTCAAGAGTATAGTATGCTGTCATAATAAGCAAGGACAGAACATAGTTTGGGGAGACATAATTAAAAAATTATCAAAGTCAATGCAGCATTGGATATTCTTGAATCCAAGAATTTAACAGCCAACACAACATTTTTAGAATAAATTGTCACCACTTAGCCCAAACATCATCCACACCCAAAACCCACAGAACACACATTTGTTACATAGACCAAGTTATAGTCTTCATGACTAAAGTTGATCTCATAGGGCAGTGTCAGGTTTTTTCAAACCTCACATTAGCTTCATGGTTTTTACACAGAACAAGGAGTTAACCTTTTCACTGAATGAAAGAATGAACCGGCCATATGTCAGTATCTGATGTAAAAATTTGCAACTCTCATTTATTGTTCTAAAACTATAGCATGAAACTACTAATGTCTAAAATATAAAAAGTGACAGTGCACCATGTGTGCAGTGTGACCAGCAGTGATCAGAAATTTTGACGAACAGTTGTAGTTTGTCAGAGGTTGAATTAGACGATTGGCCTTTTCTGACGCCAGATGTTTGAACTGGAGTAGAAGTGAGGGGCAGTGACAGCTTCAGTAAATTTACCGTAGGTCGGTGTAGCTGCTGTAGAGAGGGTCAGAGGAGAAAATGGAGCAGTGGAGGTGGAATTACAGGAAGTGTCACCTGATGGGAGAAAAGGAGTATCATCAGTCTGCATAGAAACACATGACAGATTCTATTCAAACTTCAGTGACATGACTTCAGTTTCATGGTGATGAATGTGACCCACAGATGGAAGACACTGGACATCCACACAATGTTTTATGTATCAGATTCAACACATTCAAATTTCGAAATCCTGTGACGGATCTGTATGTACTGTTGATTTGTGGGAGATTTTAAAGACATGTACATCATTATTGTAATTATTAATTACTGAGATAATACTAGAACTACTGTTCTACGGTTGTATACATCCACCATCCAGTGAAGTTGACCACTGAAGTGACCATCCACTGTTAATCAGGTCATCTTTGAGCAAAGGTGAAGGTTTGTCCCTGATATATCACATTCACAAGAACATGAGGACCTTTGACAGTCAAATTCCAATCGAAAAATTCCCTCAAGTTGTTCTTAAGATATTGTGGTCAAAAGAACAGGATGGATGGACAACAATGAAAAATAGACAAAAATACAAATCAATTTATACATTAAACAGATAAATAAATAGTCCCAGAATATAGGACCATTTCCATTTGTTCCATTTTGTAACTTGAAAGTTCAAATGTAAGTTGCCTAACATGGTTGAGAGGCTCAGGTAGACATTATGTGACAGTTGCGCAAAGTTGTTGAAACACACTTTCATCATATTTTCCACTTTGTTGAAGGAAGAGGCTTTGTGAAGTTTTCTCTGATTAGGAAAGAGATAACAATCGAACTAGAATAACAGGTTACTACAACAAATTAGAATGAAATGTAAATATTTGTGTGTGTGTGTGTTTGATGAGCATATCACCTGTGTCACACAGTTACAGTTAAACAATTGAGTTCTTGATGAATGTCAATGCTCCATTGTCTGCAGACCTTTTTTTTTAAAACCTAACTGATGTCAGTCCTTACCTGTAAGTAGGACAACCAGTAGTATCTGCAACCAGTGTAGGTGCCTGACACGTGAACCAGGATTCTTCATTCTGTAGCAAGTAGCAATTATAATACATTAAAACATTTTTCAAATTTTTTTTTCCTGGCCCACAATGAAAATGTAAAGTTTAAGCTTCATTGTAGTGACATGTTGTGATTTCCACACCTATTGTTTCATGACAGTCAAAGAAAAGCGTCACAATGAGTCATATGAAAAACTTGAGGAACACCTTCGCCTTATCACGCCCATGCTAATAAACGCTGTACATCCGTGATTATATACGTCTGTAAGTTTTCTTTTCACGTCATTGTGGCCATTAACCTTATCTCGTATGGCCCTGAAGACGTACGTAACACCAAATTAAACACTTGAATGCATTCCTGTCCAGACACACCTTTAGGTAAAAGAAAACAAATAACCTTTATCTCAACTGTGGCGAACTGCCAATAGAAATAATACAGGCTGAGTTTCCATCAGCTCAGATTTATTTTTATGTAAAAAATCAAACACTCCATTTAATAAAATAATAACTCAAAAACTAAACAAGCTCTTCAAAATGTGAAATCAAACAAATGTATCCATTTTTACATTACATATCATTTAGCCTTGATGGTAAAGTTCTCTATAAGTCTGAGCATCACTGTACCACCACATTGTAGCAGGTGCATCCTCTTCTCTGTTCCTCAACATATTATCAATAATAAAAGAGTCAAAGAACAAGATAAGACAAAAACATTCAAAAGTTTTAAATGTGACCTGAAGAAATTAAAGATTAAAAAATCTTGCAATGTTAAAGAAAAAAAATCCTGTATAAACCCCCAACACACCAACATTTAATGGGTTCTTCTCTGACCCACAGCACGTCCTTCTGCCAAGTTTGGTGGAAATCTGTTCTATTGTTTTTGTGTAATCTTGCGGTAAGAAAAAATCTAAATGTGATTTGAAACTAGGTTAAAGGGTAAATATAATGTTCAATGGAATTAAGACTTATTTCTGTATTTAAATAATCTATCTTGGTGAATTATTCTGAATTCAACTACTTCCCGAATGAAGACAAAAAAGTGACATACACATACACACACACACACACACAAACACACACACACACACACACACACACTGTTCACAGCTTTACCTGACAGAGGCGGCAAATGTTTTCCAGCATGAAGATCCACCAGAGTAAATCCCAGGAACTTTCATGACTTTTTCTTCATTTCCATGTAGCATAACATCTCCTGGGTAAAATCCAAACTTGAAAACAAAGTAAGACCAACAAAAATGAGATAATTTCTTCTGTCAATAGACACAGACCTGGTTATTGAACCTGGCTGGCTGCTGTGTGCGTTCAAGCCGGATATACAGCTGACATTTGCTTTTGAAGTGCCAGCCTGACAATTCACTCGTCGCCTAAATCCACTTTACCTTCAGCAAGTCTCTATCAAAGTTCCAGCCTCTGTACAGGAAGTTATTTAGATAAGTACCAGATCAGGAAGGTGTACTGTCCTCTACTGTCTACTGATGAGCACACACTACTATTGTCCCTGTGGACGAGGTATTTTGAGATTTCTTTTTTGTTTGGCAGTAAAGTTACGCCTCAGGGTGTGTCCTAACCTGGTGAGTGTTGTCACTGATTGAAATGACTGTAAACAAGAGTTCCCTGGGTAACTCTGCAGGGTTAAAAAAAGAGTCCTGGCATTGACACATTCACTGTTACGTCAGAAGAAGCGAAGCATTGTGTCTAGGTAGGGTTCTGCACCGGCTTTTCAGGACTGTGAATGGGGAGGAGCTTGTTCCATCGCTCACCACCTCATTTATCTGTCATTGTTGTGGTGCTCAAACTTGTATTTGACCAGATTAAACACAGCTGCACCCTGAACAGCGAGTGCATTGCAAATGGAAGATCGCAGTTGTTTATGGCACAATAAGAAGATGATGATTAAAGACAATATTGAGATAATTGGAAAATAGATTTGTATCCGAATATAAATCCATAGCCTTCCGCCAGAGGTCAAAAATGGATAAAAAGAAAATGCTGGTGGATGGAGGAAAGGAATACAGAGTGTCATCCAT